TATTATATTATTTTACGAACTACCCTGGGCGACTTTATCATTGCATGAATAATCCAAGCCTGTGAGATAAAATTAATCGAATCACTATCCCCATGTATATATTTATACCAACAAACACACAATAAACACATTAAAGTATTTTCCACCGAAGAAGACCGCTTTCCACTTAAATGCTGGTAACTTTATTATTAACGGACCAGATTAGCGGCGAGATATTTTACATTAGGTACCTTTATGAATAACATTTTACTGCTCTGTTGTTTCAATCAGCACTGCTCAACAAGTTATCGTTTATTGGTTTTAATATTTTATTGAAATTGTACGAGTACGGAATATTTATTTAAACAGTGACTTTATTACATGTTAATTTTTCTTTTAATTTCTTCCGACGTATCGTATAATGTAGGTTTACCCAATAATCAAGCTATGCCTTTACAAGAACATTTATTTGAAAAATAAGGAGTACCATGTGTCATAATAATTGTAATCTCCTTTATACACACTTTAAACATTTGTTTAGTAATGTATTTCTTAAATTCACAAAATCATTGAAAAATCATTCATGCTATTTAAAAATATCTTTCTGTTATCGACACCCTTAAAATTCAAACTTGTCATATTACACTTCTGTTTATCGTTAAAAATTAGTTGATGGTCGTGGGTTGTATTGGTATTATTTAATAATTTAGCAAAATATATAATCAGCAAAAATCTTATTTCAAACATGCGAACGGTTTTTTCATTCACAATCAATGCAGTGTTTATGCTTGTTTAGCATTGGCTGTTAAATAATTTGTGTTCGATTGTTTCGTCTGTTGTACAATCCTCGTTCTTTTTAGGATGTAATAGTTTTATACAAGTACCTATTTTTTATAGTAGTGTAGTGAAGCTGTACTTAAAAGTAAAATGAGTTATTTGAAAGAAAATACAATACAGTCGAAACGTAGAGTGTTATCTCAAAAAGAACGATGTTTAGTTCTGAAAGTCGAAGATTATTTCAATTTGGAAAAAAATAAAATGGGTCCATTGACATATGTTCTGTAAAATGTTAAGATGTGACATGGTGTCCTGTAAAAATGTTAAGATTTAGATGAGAAACTAACATCAACGGTCCTTGAAAATTTTTCAATACTTCATAAAAAATTACATAGAACTGACCAATTTCTCGAAATAACTGACCAATGGATATCAATTTGTAACCTTTTAGAAGGTATAATTACGTTTCAGGAATACTAGCTGTAACATAGTGATTTAGAAAAACGCGGGAAACTACTGTTTTCTTAGTATTTCTAAAATGTGTATTGTCGCAAGGAACTACATTCTTGGTATTTTTAAAATTTTTAATGGAGTGCGCTTGCGTGCTAGGGTTGTTGCAACTTTAATAATTATTTTCACCGCAAAAACCAACTGACCAAACGCTCAGTATATCTGACCATTTGTCAGCGTTTTAACCTCTATCGAATACAGTCATTTGTTTTATAGATTTCGTTCAATGAGGTGCCAACATCTTTGTTTGTCCTTGAAAATTTTCAACTCTTAATAAAAAATTAACCATAACTGACCAAAAGCTGAAACCAACTGACCATTTGTGACCAAAACGTGACCATTCAGACGGCATAATTATTTTTACGAAATTCGATCAATGAGGTGCCAACATCCCAGAGCCCCATCACGCGTATGGACAAACAAAAGTGGTATAGTAGCCTCGTATTTCCATGAGACTGTGCAAAAATATATGTATCTGTAATAAAATCATTCAACAAAAAGGTACTTTACCAGGAGTCTGTAAAATTATCAATGACTCAGACGAATACAAAGTTTCCAGATTCCACTCGATATTAACATTCAGACGTGCCTGGTATAATCTTTTAAAATATGAACCAGATATGAACAATCAACCAATTAAGTTTTCATCGAACTTATTATAGGTCCACGTGGACTAACGACCAATGAAAACATCGGATATCGCTGTTATGACAAATCATAATGCATTATCTTTTGCCGGTAGACTTATTCATACTTGGGGTAAGATGTATCAGTATTTGACTGAGCTTACGGAGTCATAAAATAAGGGATCAGGTTTCGACGGCACGGGACGGGGAAAACTTAGGTAGGCAAATTTTTATATTTTATTTTTAAATTGCGGATATGACCAACAGATTTTTGGGAGACAAGAATATTTTTAGTAAAATCATAACTGCTACAGCGTTTAGTTAATTTCAAATAGTGAACCGCAAGTTAGTTTAGTAGTGACTTTTTTCAGTGTTCTTTATACGAAAAACATTTTATATTTTACGTTTTTTACTTTTTTTGATACGTTTTTACGTGATTATTTTTTTATACGTTTGATAATTTTAAAATATTGCGTCCGTGGTGCGATAATAATTATGTAGCTGAAGAGACAATGGAACCCTCTAATCGATTGGAAGATTTACAAAGGCGTGTAGTTAAACTTAAGCGACATTTTTAATACCTTTCTGATGATGCCAAACGTATGCTAAAAAATGTTTATGAAGGACTGTGTGCTGAATTGTCTAAATGTCTAAAAACATGTTTTTTAACCCAAAATTATAGCAGTTCCCAAAGCAACCTGCTACAAAATTATAGAAGAAACATCTTCTTCTAGACAGAAGAGAAAGGATTGTGGCAAATTCAGAAAAATAAAACCGCACTTAATTGAATCTATAACTAGAACAATATACCAAATGTATGCGGCTAATATTTTTCCAACTATTGAAAACCTTTGAAATGAATTAGTTCGAAAGTGCATTCTCTCGTGTTCAGCAACAACACTTCGATTATTTCTTAAAGCCAATAATTTTAAGTACAAAACTATAGACAAGAGACAGACATTAATGGAAAGTACTAGAATAATTTCTTTAAGAAACAATTATTTCAGACAGATAACTGAGTATCGAAAAATGAAACGAAATATTGTTTATTTAGATGAGACCTGGTATGATACTCATGACACCGTGAAAAAAAAATTGGACAAATAATAACAAAAAGTGTTTCAACTCAGTACTGCCCAATAAAAGAAAGAGGATTATAATTTTACACTGCGTTGGAGAAAATGGATGGGTCGACGATGCATTATTAATATCTGCAAAACAAATTAAAAACGCGTCTCTGGATTATCATGACGATATGGAAAGTTCAATTTTTAAATGATGGTTTGAAAAATGTCTTCTTCGGAAATTACTTAAAGATAGTGTGATTATCATGGACAACGCATCATATCATTCAAGATTAATGAAAAAAACTTTAAATAATAGTTGGAATAAATTAAAAATTCAGGAATTTTTATTCACGGAAGATTTGTATTTTGAGACATCTTATATTAAAAAGCAATTGTTGGAGGTGGTTCATAGTAAACAGTACAAAAAGGAATATGTTGTTGACAACTGTGCTCGTAGTAACGGGCATACTGTGTTTAGACTTCCTCCTTATTATTGTACATTGAACCCAATAGGGTTAATATGGGCTCAACTTAAAGGAAATATAATGAGAAAAAACGTTGCTCCAAAATTTTTTGTCTACTGTTCTCCAGTTAATTAGAAGAGAAGTAACAAAAATTACAGCAACCAACTGGAAAAATGTAATAAAAATAAAACATGTGATCGGAGTGGAAAATGACTATGTTAAATATTTACCAGCATTAACCAAATTACCTATAAATTTAGATGATACGAGTGATACTAGTGATAACAGTGATTCTGAGTAGATAGTAAGTACTTATTAGGTGTTAGTTGAAACCTTTATTTCTATTTTAACTGTAGATATTCCCATTTTGCTTATATATCTTTGAAAATAGGGTATAAACACACTTCTTCATAGGACAAAAATTATTAATGTTTTAGGGGAGTATGTCAACTGAAACTGTCACTGTCATTCTCGCTGAATAACTACTATTATTAACAATGTTTTATATAGATATTATTATTTTACAATAAGTTCTGTTCAGTCGAGTCGATTAGTGTTATCACTCCCAAGATATATCACGGAAATTAAAAACACCGATATTTTTTATTTAAACTTTATAGAAAATGAAACTTTTTGGTAAATAAAATTAAATAAAAGTAAAAACTTTTATTTTATTTAAAATTAGGTATCTACGCTACTGTTCCACTACTATGTACTACAATAAAGTAGTGGTAACTCTAACAGCGTTGCCATTTTACTAGTATTTTGCTTGCTTTTGCCTCTGTAAATTTTCTCACGAAATTACGTGCCGACTATAACATAGAGATGAGCATCGTTAGAAAAACATCGATGGTCACCATCGATTAAACATCGGAACCGTACCATCGATGGCAAGAGAACATCGAACCTAAACATCGATGTTTTTCAACTATTGACTTGTTAAACTCGATGCTTGTTATTGTTGACCTTGAACTAAAATTTCTTGGACATAATACATAACCTAGCGAAATCAATAAAATAGTTTATTTATTTTATTGTGTATATATTATGAACGATACATGTATACATTATGAATATATAATTATATTTTCTCACTTAGAACACTTTAAAAAAAAACTTTATTTTTGAAAGTATACAAATTACAAACTATGCTTAAATAATGTTAACAATTAAAGTTGAACGTAAGCTAGCAAGTGACTCTTAAGTGAGAGCGCCCACCAACATGGCGTGGCAGTGGCAAGTAGCAAGTAGCACGCGTCTAGCATAATGTAACCAATCCTAACGAATGATTAGAATGAATGACGTTACTGTCATTTTGGTGTAAACTGAATCATTCGTTTTCATTGGTTACATTATGCTAGACGCGTGCTACTTGCTACTTGCCACTGCCACGCCACTTTGGTGGGCGCTCGCCCTAATAGAATGACCTACTTTTTTATTTTAAGCTGTATTTATAATGTTTAATATAAACATTAAATAAACTTATAATCTGATGGTGTTGTTGGCTTCCTTCGGTGTGGTCTTGGAGGAGGTCTCGTGGCGTTGGTATTGCGTTGCGTTTGTGTTAGGTGTTATGGTTACGTTTCTCCTCCTTCCTTGGGATTGAATTCCGTCCTCGCAATTTCGAGAAGTTCTTGAAGGGCTGCTACTTGGTGTTGTGGCATTTTGGGTCCAAATAACAGTCTGTAGATTCTTCTTCTCTTGCGAATTTCTATGTATAAAATTAATGCTAAAATAGACATGATTAATAATGTGAGGATGAGGCTGATGCTGGTTGTCATCAATGGCTGTAGATTTGTCGTTTCGATGGGCTCGAGTCGGTGATGGGTTCTTGGAATTTCCAATTTTTCCAATATAAGTGAATGTTTCGGATGAAGTTTCATTTGTATGATATTTGGCATTTGCAGTTCTTGGATGGTCTGCGGGTTTATCTTTTGTCCCATGATGTATAATGTTTCATCTGTGGAAATCACGCTGGAGTGGTTGACAGTGATTTCGCCAATTTTAAGGGGTTTTGCTAATCCTAGTAGAACGACGTGGTCAGTCTCTATGATAAAGTAAACGTAACTAAACACTGTAAGTAAACACTGTAACGTGTGCAGTGATTCATCCTTGTACGTCTGGGATTTGACATTTTGAGAAAACTCTATCTTGGCAAATGATGATGTTAGAATTTGGCGTGCAATTTTCGTACCATGTGTTGTTTGCGTAGTACTTTGCAGGTGGGATTATCATTGCTTGTTCATTGTTAGGTATCGAATATATTTTGGAAGTTGGGTAAGAGTGGACGTGGAGAATAGGAATTTTTAGGATAATAAGCATACTTGTTTGAGTTATACATATTACTGAATGTGAGGCTTCTAAGAGTTCATAGGGGTATTCTTCGTTGAGTATTAGAGCGTCTCGAGGATAAATTGAGAGAAGTGTGCTTTAAAGATTAAGTATCTCATGTAAGGTAAGAAGTTCGATATTTGGAATATTGGATTGAGAGAATGTTATTGTTCTTAATAGTTTTTTGATGTATTCATTTATGCTTTGTATTTATAAAATTTCGTTAAGTATGGCTAATTGTTTGGAAACGTGATCTAATTCATTTGATAATAGGGCATTGTTATCATTTAATGTAGTCGTATGAAGTAGAAGTATGTCGAATCTGGTATTAAAGGTTTCGCCATAAGAGATTTGATTGTTATACTTTTTTATTATTTCGTTTTGTTTAAGCTCGACTGCAGCGAGATAAGATTTGAGGAGTTCGAAGTCTAAGTCGTCGGGATTGCCGGTAATGTATTTGATAGTCGTACCTAAGAAGTTGAAAAGATCTCGTTTTTGTATTCTTTTTCTTGTGATTTTGTGTAAGTTATCTTCTGCTTCTTTTAGTAGGTGAATAAATTGGTTTTTTAGAAGTTGTATCAAGGGTATGTTTGGTAAGACGTTGTCGAAGTTGTCGCTATTGTTGGATAGTGTTTGTTGGAGTTTGTGTAAGTCAATTTGTAGTATGTGTTTGTGGAAATGAGTTATGATTTTTGAGTCTCCTATTGATTCCGTATAGTAACCATTATTGGGTATCTCCTGCATTTTGACTAGTGCTTGCAGATGTTGAAGGGCTATCCTGTAAAGAGGATTTTTTGTAGTATTTTCTTTGTCTTTTAACGTATTTTAAGTGTGTACTAGTTTTGTTATTTTTTGCCGTTAGGCCAGTAATTTTTGTTTTGTTTTGTGAAGTGGGGGTTATTGTCTGATATAGAGGGTCTAGTTTGGGTTGAATTTTCTTTTTCTTTGCTTAAACTTTTTGTGTGATTGTAGTTATTTCTTCTGCGTGTTTGTTTACTTTTTCTAGAGCTTTGTCTCTTTTTTCTTTTGTTTTTGTATATATGTGGTCAATAAATGGAAGTAGTTCGTTTTTATGGTGTTCATTATAAGTTTCATATATAGGTAGGTCAAAGTCAAAATTAATTTCATTTAGATAAGGGCCGTAAAGTATTGAAAATGGTGAATAAGCTGTAGAACTGTGAATGGTTTGATTGTACACAAGGACAGCTTGTGTAAAGGTGTCATCTAAGGAGTTTTGCGGATTTTGTGCTTTTAATGTTCGAATTTTTTCTAACAAGGTTGAGTGGAATCTTTCGACTGGGGAGTTTGATGAAGAATTGTTAACAGTGGTTGTATGAGTTTCAATCTTGTGTAGATTCAAGAATTCTTTGATAACTGAGGAATTGCATTCTTTTCCGCTGTCGAATAAAATTTTCTTGGGATGGTAATGGTGTGAGAAATAATGTCTAATTTTGCTTAAAATTGATACGGAGGCTTTGTCTGGAAGTTTGTAGCATTGGGTGTATTTTGAAAATGAGTCGACTAATGTTAGGTAATAAGATTTATTGCATTGTAGTATGTCTACATGTAAAATATCAAATGGTTTCTGTCCTAATAGCGGACCTAACTGAGGTAGTTTGTATGGTTGGCGTTCATATTTGTTTTGTAAACAAATATCACATTTGTTAATAAAATTTGCTATCGTGGTTTACATTGAGGGCCAGTAAAACTTTTGTTTTAAATGTTTATATGTTTCAATTATGCCGTTGTGATTCATAACATGGTAAGTTTTTGTACATTCTATTTGTTTTTCTTCGCTTTCTATATCTTGTAAAAGTTTTTCGCAGAAATTTGCTTTAACAGTATTATCTATGTGTGTTCTAAAGAAATTACATATGAAAGATTGGAAACAATGTGGAGTTTTTATGCCGAATTTTTGGCTTGGTTTTAAAATTGCTTTAAATGCGTCGACAAGACAATCTTGCCAATTTTCAGTAACGTGAACGGAGTATCTATGTTTTTTAAATACTCTTTTGTAAGTGACGTCGTATTTTTCGCTGTTAGGAATAATTATTATTTGATTAGTTGATAAATTTAAGGGTTCTTCTGATATAGGTATGCCATTAATAGGGTCTTCTAATGAAGTTTGTTGTGTTTGAGTTTCATCGAGATTATTTTGAATATTATCGAATGTATCTAAGAATTCGTCTGGGTCAAAGTCGTTGGTATTTGGTGGTTCGACTATGATTGAAGATTTTGTAAGGGCATTAATTTGTATTCTAGATAGGGCGTCGCTAACTTGATTTTCGCGACCTCGGCGATATCTAACTTCGAAGTCGTAGTCTTCTAATTTTATTCTCCATCTGGCTAAACGGGATGTAGGATCTTTTATTTTATAAATCCATACTAAAGGATTATGGTCGGTTTCGACTATAAAACGAGTTCCATAAAGGTAAGGTCGGAAATGTTTAAAAGAATCGATGATAGCGAGTAATTCACGTTCTGTTGTGCTATAATTTTGCTCGGCTGTATTTAGAGTGCGAGAATGATATGCGACGGGATGACCGTCTTGGGTTAACACAGCGCCTAATGCGATGTTGGAAGCGTCGGTTATTAATGTGAATTGTTTTGAAAAATCAGGATATTGTAAAACTGGAGAGTTTGAAAGTAACTCTTTGCATTTAGCGAATGCTTCTAGATAAGTGGAATTAGTTGGGTCAATAATCGCATTTTTTCTTGTACAACGTGTTAGGGGAGAAGTAATTTTTGCAAAATTTGGGATGAAGCGTCTGTAATATCCGATTAATCCTAAGAAAGATTTTATTTCTTTTATTGTTTTGGGAAGTGGATATTCTCTAATCGCTTTGAGTTTTGCGGGATTTGGTTTGACTCCTTCTGGGGTAACATCCTGGCCTAGGAAGGTGACTTCTTTTGCTAAGAATTCGGATTTGTCAAGTTGGACTTTTAAATTGGTTTCTTGGAATCTTTGGAAAATTTGCGAGATGTGGATAAGATGTTCTTGTAACGATTTGGAAAATATGATTACGTCATCCATGTAGACGAAACAAAATTTGTGTAGAAAGGGGCGTAGAATATTGTCCATTAATTTTTGGAAAGTTGCTGGACTGCATTTTAGACCGAAAGGCATTCTAAAAAATTCAAAATGGCCATGAGGTACAGTGAAAGCGGTTTTTTCTATAGAGTCGGGATGGACTTCTATTTGATGGAATCCTTGGGCTAAGTCTAGGGTCGTGAAATACGTGGCTTTACCTAAGTTGTCTAGAATTTCATCTATTTTTGGGAGAGGGTATTTATCTTCGATTGTGTTTTCGTTTAATTTTCTATAATCTATTACCATGCGAAATTTCTTTTTGCCGGAGGCGTCAGTTTTTTTGGGGACGATCCACACGGGTGCTGAGTAGGGGGAGATTGAAGGTGCTTTGGGGTGTCTAAAGTTTCTTGAGTAAATAGGGTTTTCGTCTTTAGTCCTGATATGATGTTTTATTTCTGATGTGAAAGTTAGTTTGTCTTTTTCGTCGTAAAATATGTCTTTGTATTTGTGGCATAGTCTTAGTATTTTTTCTTTTTCTTCGGGGTTTAAGTGTCGTGTGCGAAATTGGAAGGTATGTCGTTGGTTATTTCGTAGTTGTTTAGATTTTCTACATGTATGGGTTTTATTTGTATTGGATAATCAAGAGTGATGTTATCGATGTAACCGTTAGTAACGTGATGAATGGATTCTGGGAAGATTTCGTTATTTATTCTTGTTTCGGGAAATAATATTTCGCCTTGTTCTATGTCAACGGGTATTTTGAAAGAAAGTGTTTGAAAGGGTATCTCTATGTCGTAACGTTGTAGTGTTAATGTTTTATTTGTGTAATTTAAAATGGCTTGAAATGAATCTAAATCAAAATTTCCTAATAAAATGTCGAAGTCTTTACTCCAGTCAGCGATGCGTGCATCGATAAACTCGGGTATATTTAATTATTTAAATAGTGGAGTTTTGATATTGTCTGAATATTTGGTCGTTTTTTTCATTGATGTAAGTGTGAGAAAATTTGGGTTAGAATTTTGGGGAATTTGTCTATTGAAATTTGTGTTGGTATTATGTGGTATTGGTCTAGGTTGATGTCGGTTTTGGTTTCACTTTTTGATTTTTAAGAAAGTTCATATAAGAAACTTGATTTTGGTGATTGTCATAGGCTATACACTTTTGTAAAGCTGTGTCTAGCGTATCGAGTTGGAAGTGCGAAAGATATTCGCAATAGGGATTGTTTACACCTGTAGAAAAGGTTTTAAGGGCTAAATTTTTAAAGTAGGGTGATTTAAAAAGCACCGTTTCTGCATTATTATGCAAAGAAATATGTTGTAATAAGTCGTTTAAATGGGTAGTTATTCATTGGTAGTAGTCGTCATATGTTTCATGTGGTTTTTGTACGGTTGTAGTTAGTTGAGTGACTAGGATTTCCTCAGATCTCCTGTCGCCGTATTTAGCTAGTAAGGCCCAGTTTTATTAGAAAAATTTAGGTAGTCTCTCGGCTCACCTTTTATTCGTGAAAGAATATTTGCATTTAATACAAATGCTTGAACTTCTGTTGGGTTTTGGCCTGCTAGAAATTCGATTAGGGCATCTACGGATCTAGTAAATGTCGATAGGTTTTGACCTGTTGTGTATTCGGGAAGAGTAGCACATAGGCTTGAAATATCGTCGTTTGAAATGGGCATTTTATCCTCTAT